TTCAGTACCACATTTATAACTTTAGTTGACGAATAAATTTGTCACGCATGTTGATCATTGATGAGGAAATAATTTCGTCATAGTAAGATGTAAAGGTGACGAAATTTTTCGTCTTCAAAAGTCATAATTTTTTGTCACCAATAAAACAATATTTTGTCGCCAAAAATCCTCATTTTCGTCACCAAATAGTTATTCAGTACCACATTTATAACTTTAGTTGACGAATAAATTTGTCACGCATGTTGATCATTGATGAGGAAATAATTTCGTCACAGTAAGATGTAAAGTTGACAAAATTTTTCGTCTCCAAATATCATGCATGGGTGACGAAATATATTTTGTAACAAAAATATATATACATAACGAAATTTTTAATCACTAAACAACAAAATTAATGAAAACCTTCATATATAAACTATAGTAAATTGTCACAAAAATATTTATTACCGACAAATAGTCACTTTGTCATAATAACAAATACAAATGACGAAAACAATTCGTCACTAAACTTGTCCCATATTTTGTATTTCAATTTAAATTATTATTTTACAAATATCCCTATTCATATCCCAATAACCTTTTAAATGTATTAAGAAATCCACTAGCTATTATATACCACTCCATAAAAAAATTCACCAAAAAATTTATATTATAAATCAAAATATATCCATCAAACAAATTTAATAATAATCCATTAAGTATAACAAAAAACCATCAAAGCAATTCCAAAAATGAACTAACATGGAGTTCACAAAAAAAATCAACATTCAATCTTGATTTGCAACTAGAACCAAGTATCAGTTCAGGAAAAAAAAATTTAACACTTGATCTTGATTTGCAAGTATGCTTCCAAACGTCATCAAAAACCAATCTGCAAAGAAAATAAAAAAAAAATTTAAAATATTATCAATTACATTGTATAGACCTCTTTATCCATGTCAATACAAATTGTGTACACAATGAGTCTAGCTTAACAACCAAAAATTCCTTTATACATGACAAGCTCCTATTAATCACATCACTAAATTAGAGCAACTTCAACACTACCTAGCAAAAATACTCAAAAAAATATACACGTAGTTTTGTCTCTATTTTGGTTAATATGTATTTTAATGAGGGTCATGCTAAGTAAGAAGTAACTAATGAATCTATTTTCATTAAATACATCTTCAAACTTGTTAAATCTTAGTTAATAATTAGTGAAATTGTTGTGCTTTAACTAGTATATACTAACCAACATTAGAAAAATAAAAACATAAAACAAGCGGGACTTACCAAAACGGCGATCTACGAGTTCATGGGATACCTCCTCCTTTAAATTGTCCTTTGAAACCTTGCTTCTTAAGAAACCTTGCTTCGTAAAAAAGAATGAAAATAAGGTCAGACGTGGGTGAAAACAGAATTTATGATGTTCTTAATTTCAAGTGATTTTTTTTTTAGTACACTAACCTGAAGATTCACAAGGAACCCATAATGACTAAATGATTTTAACCCAACAGCTAAAGTAAGCCAAGCAGATGCTATTGATGGGTGCTTTGCCATGGTTAGACCATTGAGCGCAATCCCAGGACCAACACAACCAATTGACTACAAGTAAGGATATACCTGATGCTTACTGTATCACATGATTAGTAGGAAATTCCAGAAGTAAAACAAAAGAAACAAATGTAGACGGAAATATTTCAATTCAAACTTCTAGTTTTCCAGGTTACATGCAATTTTGTGAAACCAGCATCAATGATTATTTATTGCCTGTTTGAATCAAAATTAGAAAGAAATTTAAAAAAATAAAAAGTTGGACAACCATACATGATGTTCATGAGTCCATTACATGGACCATGACTACTAGTAAATACATTTTGGAAACAAAATTAATAGAAGTTGTTTTTGGTTATGTTTTTACTTTTTTGAAAGACCAAGCTGCTTGTCTGAGGTGGACAAGATATATCTATAACAAAGAGACATGCATTTCATCTTTCTCATAAAATCAGTACACTTGTTGAGTATGTGGTAAATTGCTGATAAACTACAACTTTTAGGCTAGCTATGGCCTTGTTGTTTTAAAATATATAGGCATCCATGAAACAATAACAAAGAATCCCTGTATACGACAGAAAGAATATCAGTACCCAAAAAATCATATATCTACACAATGAAAGATATGTACACAAGCATTCAAATACTTTAGACACCTAATCACACAATTGTATTGGGTATATATTCACAAATTAAGTTAGTGATTTGTAGGGTTCCTTCTTAGTATATCATTCTAACCAAAGAAAGAAAAGTATAATCAAATAACATACATTCACTTCGAAACATTCTCTTATCTAAACATTTCTAAAGCATAAAAGGTTGACAAATAAGATCATACATGGGAGCCATATTGTGTTGATTTTGTGGAAACATATACAGCCGGATCTTGCTAGTCTTGAGAAAAAAATCTAAATAATATGAGAAGAAAAATGATACCATGCTTATGACAGCCAAGCTTCTAGTATAATTTGTCCTCCTGTCCAGCCCATTCTTAGAAGTGCGACTTTTTAACCAAAACACCTATCAAGAGGCAACGTAACTAACTTGAGAAAAGAATTCCCAAGAGAGCGCCAAAGGTGCAACATATTTCTTGAAGAAAACATACCCTTGCAAGGTATGTACTAGTGGTCATAAGTGGCAAATGGTCATAATCTTTAGCAAAATTAAGCATATGTTTGTGCTCTAGATTAAAGGAGATCTATATACTAGAAACATGCACAAAAAATTAGACGAAATGCATGCAGACACACACACACACACAAAGCATCAAATGAACCTTAGCAGACCTTTCTAGCATCTCTATACTCCGAATGAGATGGTGCAGGGTGTCACAATTTGGTACCCATCCTATTAATCCGCTGTTTGGAGACAATGGAATGACAACATATCTTTGAATAGAAAGATCCTTCTCTGCAGTGTTTTTGGAATTTTCCAGAAGTGTGTTCACCAAACCAAAGAGCTGGCCAACATGTAAAACAAAATGTCATTGATAGTAACAAAAATAATATAAAAACACCACGTACAATTCCAATTTTGTAAACATAACCATTATGTGCCTTAGAACCCAGCACCACTAGAAAGTGGATGCAGAAAACTAGAAGCCCACTTCTTAAATAATCCCACAACCAACAACTAGGTCCAAAGGCTATTTCTTCTTCAAGTGAGTGATATCTAATCTAAAAATTATAAGTGATGTTTAGATATGCAAAGTTAAAACCATAATTCAATAGATATATTTAGCAATGCAAACACAGCTCAGAGAAGCCACGAGAATTGTCAAATTTTAAAAAAATTTAAAAAACTATAAAATGTATTTAATATGTAGCGATCCCGGTTGTCCCTTTACTATTCTGTTGTGTTCCGGACTTAGTTCCGTGAAGTTGGTAGTTGTATATATCTTGTCGTCGTCCTTTAATTCCGCTTGATTGAGTTTTAGGATGTTTTGGGCAGGGTTGTTACAGGTTGGTTAGGCCTTGGTTTCAATTCCTTGTTGCCCAGTTTTTAGGCGGTCCACTCGAGCGGGTCTTCTTGCGCTCGAGCGGGAATTGCACACCTCCAGTATTTCCTGTTCCTGCAAAACTTCTGCAGATGTGATTTTTACGCTCGAGCGGTAGCGGGTAGTACTTTCTGGGTATAAGTTCTGGGTATAAGTTCTGGGAGGGGGAAATCTACGCTCGAGCGGACTGGTTTTCGCGCTCGAGCGGAAGTGCTTTATTCGTGTGTCTTGGAGCTCGAGCGGGCCTTATTGCGCTCGAGCGTGTCCAGATTTTTGTTCTTGGCGCTCGAGCGTTGTGTTCTCCGCTCGAGCAGGTCATGCGTATATGAGTTATCTGCTGGGTGATTTTAAATCACTTTTTACATTCCTTTCTCTCTCCTACTTTTTCTAAAACCCATTTTGAGAGCTTCTCTCTCTAAAACCTTGACTTCTCTCTAGGTATTGATCTAGTAGGAGTGATTTCCTTACCTTTGGCCTTTACAAAATGGTTGTTGATCGTCGAGGGCTATCTTTTGATCCGAGAAACTCGTGGTTTGGAGCAACTTCATTTTCACCATCTTCTTCTTTGGGTCTCATCTTTGAGGTGGGGGTTCCTACTCACTCTTATGGTCTTTAACCTAGATTTTTAGTTGTTTTGATAAAGTGTTTAATTTGGAAAATTTTGGGACTTAGGGTTTCAAAATGTGTGAAAGAGGGTTTTGTAATTTTGGGCTCATAATATGTATTTTGGGTTTCAAATGGTGTTACTGATGTTGGTTGTTGATATTTAGATCATTGGGTCAATATTGAGAAATGGGATAGAAAACCCTAATTTGGTTGAATAAATTAATTGGTATAATTAATTTGGGAAAATTGTGAATTTATGAAATTGAGTTGGAAATAATGAAATTGGCTCATTATGTTGTGAAATGATGGAGTTGGATCTATAAATCGCTCACTTTTGGAAACATTGATATTTTATCTGTTGGAGCTATTATTATCTGTTTAGAAATAATTGCTTGGGCTACCGGTGAAGGGTAGTTTTGATTATTGTAGACAATGCATGATAATTAGGCAAACTAAAACTAATCAATTGGATATGTCATAGAGTATGACGGTTGATAGAATACATTAACGTTATGTATTGATTGATTGATTGTGTATATGACCTTTGTGTATATACGTTGTGTGTGTGGCGTGTTGGATTGGACCGACTTGGAGGTAGATGAGGA